ATTGTAGGACACCTAACACCTTCCAAGCCCACACAAATATATATAAATAATATATAAGTTGACATAAAGCACGCCTGTTAGTACTAGGGAGGGATATTAATGCTGATCCTACTGCTAGACGCAGTTCTACTAATGCTACTAGTCGTCGCGCTCCGCAGTAAACGCAGTAATGCGCTGATCGCGGATTTCGTAGCATCGATTTTGTCTGGCGATAGTGCTGGCGACAGTGTTGTAGGAGCGCGAGGCAGAGAGGGTCGTTGTCATGGTCTTTCGCCTTATTTTACACGTACGCTCCGGCCCTTGACATCTCCCCACATCTTTTTGCCCGTTTCCGCCTTGGGGGTCTTGAATTCCACGTACCCCGCTGATCGCGGTGAGTCCGCTAAAGCGCGCCTGTGAGTACGTCCCAAAAATGTGAATCGGGGTTGGGTTGGACATTTGCGACAAAGGGTTTACGAAGTCCTTCAGCACGAGGTTGAGAGGAAATGGGAATGAAGCAGGGACGAAGGCTTCGTGGGAGCTAAGTCCCCGTCAGCAAAGGCTTTGTCCAGAGGCCCTATGTCCCCGCTTCATTGGGCCCTCCAAAGACTCATCTGCTTCGTCAGGCAGAGGACCTTCAGGCTTGTTTAGTCTTGGCTCCACGCTTGCTCCTCCATTGGCCACAACTACCGCTTCTCTCGCCTTTACGCTTGACTCTGGCGTGTCTGAGTGCTTCTTCCGCGACCACACTGGGCTCTCGCCACTCGCCGCGCCTACCGCTGTCGCGTTTGCTGACCGTTCCTCTGGTCCTGTCATGGCCTGTAGCTACACTACCCTTCCCTATCGAGCGGTTCCCTCGGGTTCCCTTACAGGCCTAAACATCCCTTTGTTCTCCTGGAACCTTGTTAGTGTCGGCTGTCTTTAGGACCTCGGCGTCACCACTACGTTCCCTCGTCACGAGCGGTACGCTGTCTGTACCGAGGCCGCCTCAGGTGCCCCCCTTGCGACGTTCCCGCGAGACCCGGTGTCTGGCTTGTTAACGCTGGACACTGCTTCCCCCTCGATGGGCACGTCCTCCCCGGGTCCTACGTCTACCCAGGTCGCTGCGGCTTGCTCGTGTCGGTCGCTTACTTACCCGTCACTTCTGTGCCACCACCATCTAGGTCACCCTGCACTCCCGCGTCTGCATCACATGTCTCAGCAGCGTCTCGTCCTAGGTCTCCCTGCGTCGCTCCCTGCCCTCCCTCCCTCGCCTGCACCGCCGTGCACTCCCTGCGTCGAGGGACGACTGTGCCATGCCCCTCACTCCTCCTCACTTCGCCCTACCACCGCACCACTTCAGACCCTGCACCTGGACGTCTGGGGCTCGGCCCCCATCCCTGGACCACGTCGTGAGCGCTACCTTATCGTGCTCGTCGACGACTACACGCGCTACACCACGGTTTTCCCCTTGGAGCGGAAGGCAGACGTGCCTGCCGTTCTTATCCCGAGGGTTGCAATTGCATGCCTCTACCACGGTCTCCCTGTGCTGTGTCTCCACTGCGACCTCGGCGATGAGTTCGCCCCTGGTCGGCTTGGACAGTTCTGTCGTGCGCAGGGCATCTTACAATCGTACACACTATCAGACTCTCCGCAGCACAATGGGGCCGCTGAGCAATGCATTGGCTTGGTCATTGAGGTAGCTCATACCTCCATGATCCATGCCGATGCAACCCATTTTCTATGGCCGTTCGATGTTCGCTACGCCACTCACCAGCTTAACTTGTGGCCGCACTCCCAGCAAGCGCTGGTTTCGCCGACCCTTCTTTGGACCGGGCTCCCTGGTCACACGTCTACGTTCCATGTCTGGGGTTGCCTTGCTCACGTTCGTGCCTCTGGCATGGACAAGCTCTATGCCTGCACTGTCCCTTGTGTCTTCCTCGGTTTCCCCCTTGACTCGTCTGACCGCATTTTACCACATGCCGTCTCACCACTTCTTCCACTCCCGTGACGTCACTTTCGACGAGTCTGTTTCTGTTTACCACCGCTTTCCCCACCGAGGTCTCCTGGTTTCCCCGCCCCTGTTTCTGGTTCCCACTCCCCTACTAGCCCCTACTCCCCTCCCTTCCCGTTCTGCTCTTTCTGGTGTGTCTCACGTCACTCCCCTCCTATCCATTGTCCCGGTCGAGGAGTCGGCTGACTCTGGTGGCCCCGCGACGCAATTCTCGCCACTTGTGGCTCCCCCGGTGTCTCCTTTTCCGCCATCGCAGCCGCTGCCGCAGTAGCAGCCACAGCCGTCGTCGCTTCCGCAGTAGCAGGCACCGCCGTCGCCGCCATAGCAGCAGCCGTCCGCTGACTCTGGGGTTGCGGGCGTTGAGGAGGGTGCTAGTCCTGAGGTTCCTTTCGTGGCTTGTCCCGGCGGTCCTGGAGGTGGCCCCGGTGCCGAAGAGGGTTCTCGTTCTGCGGGTGCTGGTTCTCGGGGTGCTAGTCCTAGGGTTCCTGTCGTGGCTTGTCCCGGCGGTCTCGGGGGTGGCACCGATGCTGGAGAGGGTTCTTGTTCTGGGGGTGCTGGAGTGGAGCGTTTCGGAGTTAGCCGTGGTGCAGCTGGCGGTTTTGGTGTCAGTGTGGAGCAGCAGCAGCAGCAGTCACCGCCAGTGTCCGCCCTTTGCCTGCTCGGCCTTCCCTCCCCTGACCACCCGCCCGCGCCTCTCCTGCCGCCGCCTCCTCTGCTTGTCTATGGCCTTGTGTTTCCTCTGCCGGACTCGTCCCCGGCTCGTTTCCCTACTCGTTCCCCACTTGTGTCCGCTCATGTGTCTCCTGAGTCGACGCCTCTGTCTCACTTCTGGTCTCGCCCTCTCTCTCGTGCTCGTCCTGTCTCTCCCTTCCAGTGCTCTCACACCATATTGCTCTGTTCCCACGCGTCTCGTCCCCCCCCCTCCCCTCGCCTCCTCCGTCGTTGCTCGTTGTCGCTCCGCCTCCTTTGTTCGACTGCCTTTGTGCCACTCGTCCTCTTGTTCCTCGGGTCCTTGTCTCCCTCGTTACAGACCCTTCTGATCCACCAGGTTTGTAGATCTCCAGGGACAGAGCAGCGTGCACCATCACTCTCATGCAGTCACACTTGGTGCGCCAGGTCCTTCAGAGGTTCGGTCTTCTGTTCTCCTCTTCACAGCCCACGCCTCTGCCTGTAGACCACAGGCTCTCTGCTCCAGTTCCTGAGGAGTTTGTAGAGCCTAATGGTCCGTACGCAGAGCTAGTGGTTTGCCTCATATACCTGATGACTTGCACTCGTCCAAATCTTGCATGCCCTCTCAGCATCCTGGCACGCTTTGTGGCCACAAGGAGACACCGACCACAGCACTGGTTGGCAGCTAAGAGGGTTTTTCATTATCTAGCAAGTACATCGGGCATGGGACTCGTGCTGGGAGGACGTAGGCTAGTGGTCCTTACTGGGCACACAAACGCTTTGTGGGCAGATGACGCGGAGACACTCAGGTCCTCCTAGGGCTAATACTTTAGCCTTGGTTCAGGTGCCGTCTCGTGGAGGTCCACTCGCTCCTCGTCTGTTGCTCACTCTAGCTATGAGGCTGAGATCTACGCCGGTGCCATGGCGGCACAGGAGCTCCGCTGGCTGACATTCTTGACTTAGGTGAGCGGCCTACATAGCTCTACCTCGGTTCTGTATGCTGACAACAGGGCCATGATTCTCCTGTGTCAGGAGCCTCGACTTGAGGGTAGAGCGAAGCATATCCAGCTGCGGTACTTCCTCCTGCGTGAGATACAGCAGCGCCGCCATGCCCGCGTAGTACACTTGGCCTCCGGTGCCAACGCATCTGATATCTTTACTGAGGCGCTTGCGCCTAAAGATCATCAGCGACATTGTTTACAACTTGGTCTAGTTCCTGTAGCTCCTCACTTGCTAGGACCTTGATTGTGTACTTCTCTTTGGATATATCGTCTTGACTGGCCTTGTGGCTTCTCTTCCAGTGGCCGGACTGATAGTGCCGCCCTGGTTTGCTCTTGTTGATTTTGTACTCTAGCTGAATGGTCTTCGGACCCCTACCTCAGAGGTCAGACTACTAGTGCCATGTTGAGTTGCGCGTTTCATGCTCAGCACTGCCCCTTATCTAGCCTAGGAGGTGTGTCAACTTATACATATGTTTATAGGTAGAAGTTATAGGCTAGAAAGGTTTGTATTCATAGAGGGTACAACTCCAACCCTATATCCTCACTTGTGCTCCCTTGTTCTAATCATTCTGCTACTCTAAGAACGCGACCACAGGTGCGGTCAGGTTTTGCTAGGTAGGCGACCCATTTTGTCAAACGCCATAACAAAAATCGCCTCCAAATGTCAGTATATTGCCCGCAAACAACCATCTCTGCACAGACTTGAGTGACAGGGTTGGGTGTATGATTGCGCCGAGCTGCCCGTCACTTGTCGCAGGAGGTGACGATTCCCTCCATGTTTCGTTTGACAATTCGCGGGGGTCTTGACCACGCTTCCTGATTTGGCACGATCGGAGTCTGTTCGCATTTGATCGTATAGAGCTCGCATCAACGGTCGCAGGGTTGTTGGGTTTGATGCTGGCCAAAGTGGGGCAGACCCCAACTTTGCCCATCTGTATATCCCAAAACCGAGTCGCATGGCTAAACTCTCCTGGCGTCCAAGTCTAGGAACGCGCTCTAAAAGGCACGAACCTGACCTACATGTGCTTGAACAAAAGTGGCAACATTTGTATCTACTTCGTATTCTTCAACATTCAACATTAAGCATTGTAATGGTCATGCTGAATCTACTATTTTTTCCTCCGAAATCTGCAATTTCTCTAAGAATTTCAGGAAATGGTACGTAATATCATATAAGTAAATGGTGCGTAACATTATATAAGCAACCTGAATATTTACCTGAATTTTATCAAGAATGGACGCATTCACCATATTATATCTCCCTATACTCCGTCCTGTAATCGACAACCTCGCTTGTGTCTCGATATTACCCTCTGATGGCTCCTTCATCTGCCTTATAGGCTTCTCGCCGTGCAGCTCGTGACGACGATTGCCAGGAATTGCAGCTTAGCCTTCCGCTCGAGCTTCCTGCAGGATGTTTTTGAAATCGTTTTTTTAATAGCCTCCAGTTTCAGGCTCCCCTCGTCATGGGCACCTTCCACGTTGGCTGTCCGCTTACATTGTAAGACACCGTCTGACACACTTCAGGGAAACTAGGCCTATTCTGACTTTGATTGCCGTGCTCGCTCATCTAGAAATCTTTTATGTCTGATCGTATTACCTCCGCTTGTCTATTTTCACCTGCACTAGAAAACCCTAATATGTTTTCACCGCCTAATTGTCAGGCCAGTCGTGCACCCTAATATGTTTCCGCCGCCTTATCTTTTATGCAGGAAGCCGATATGTCGCTGCTCTTTCGGCTCCATCGGACCAGTGGCTGCCTGCCATGTGGACGCGCAAACAGCCGCGCTGGCTTGGTCCTTGTGGGAGCGGGGGAAGCTTGGGATGCCGAGGACGCGAGTGGGGGGACGAGATGATGCGGAAACTGGCGATACTGTACCGGATGGTGCTGTAACGGATGGTGCTATAACGGATGGTTCTGTAATGGATGGTGCTATAACGGATGATGGGTTACTGTACGATGGAATGGTGGAGATTGACGTCCCGCCTTGTGAGAGCGAAGACGACTGGGATGGTGAGACGACTGGGATGGTGAGATGGCTGGGATGGTGAGATGGCTGGGATGGTGAGATGGCTGGGATGGTGAGATGGCTGGGATGGTGAGATGGCTGGGATGGTGAGTCGATGGGGATGTGGAGAGGATTGGGGATGGTTGGGATAGTTGGGAAGATGGTTGGTTCCCCCCTTTCTCCCCTTCCCTCCCCCCCCCCCCCCCCCCTTTCTCCCCTTTCCCGCCCTTTCTCCCCTTTCCCCCCCTTTCTCCCCTTTCCCGCCCTTTCTCCCCTTTCCCCCCCTTTCTCCCCTTTCCCCCCGAATGGTCCTTTGTTGCTTGGGAATCCTGGGCACAAGCAGGTGAGTCTCCTACCCTACAGCTGCTCCCCCTTGGGCTCTACCCTTTCTCGCCTTTCCCCCCCTTTCTCCCTTTCACTCCCTTGGCCCGTTTCCCCACCCTTTCTCCCCTCTTTCCGCCTCTCTCTCCCCACGTCTCCCCGCTACCCAGATGGTGGGGAGATCGTTCAGCCGCACAAGCCCTTTTCTCGTGACCCCCCTCATCCCCCCCTCATCCCCCTCTTCCCCCTCTCTTCCCCCCCTCTTCCCCCTCTCTTCCCCCCCTCATGCCCCCCTCTCTCCCCACGTCTCCCCCTACTCAGATGGTGGGGAGATCGTTCAGCCTATCCTGCATGCGCCGCGACCACCTCATGCTGGTTACCACCCGGCTGGTTACGTGCCTGGCTCGGTTTTGGCTACGGGGGGGGAAGCAGCTTGGGGCGTGTCAGCCTTTGGAGACCAGGTATGTGTGTGCCCGATTTCGTCCTCCGCTGTCTCCTCCCTCTTGCCCTCCCACCCACCCTTTTGAGGCGTCTCAAAATAGATTCTGGGGGAAGCAGCTCGGGGCGTGTTAGCCTTTGGAGACCAGGTGTGTGCCCGTTTATGTCCCACGCCACCTCTTCCCTCTTGCCCTCCCACCCACCTTCCCCCCATCTCTCCCTTCCCCCCCTCCCCCTCCTTCCCCCTCTCTCCCCCCTCCCCCGCCCCCCTCCCCTTTTTCCTCTGCCGCAATTTTCCGCGTGGGGTGTATCGGCCCCATAGTTGTTATCTCTCCGTTCGCCTCTCCAAGCCTCTTCACGCTGTCTTTCTCACCTCTTGCCTCTCTTGCCTCTGGTGCCGCTGTTGCCTCACCCCTGCTTGACCCTAGGCACTGGACCCATCAGTGACAGCAGCAGGAGGGGCAGCAGCAGGGGACGGTATTCCCAAGCCTAGGAACCAGGGCCCCAGGCGTCCTCCCAAGCCTAAGATGTCGGCTCGGGCCAAAGCTCTCGCTGCGAGCAAGAAGGGCAAAGCTGGGGCAGCAGCTAAGGCGGCCAGAGCGCATGCTGCTGCCACTGCCGCTGCTCTTGCAGCGGGGCTCCCGCCGCCTCCCTTGCCTGCTGTGGTCGTTGCTGCTCTCGCTGCTGCTGCCAATAGTGATGATCCCCTTCCTCCGTTTCTTGCTGCTGCTGCGGCTGCTGTTGCTGCTGCCGATGCGGCGGCGGCCAAGGCTGCTGGCAAGCCTGGCAGTAGTGGCACCGCCGCTGCTGCGGCTTCTGTGCGTGCTGGTACTGGTGCTGGTGCACGTGCTGCTGACTCGTCTGATCTAGAGCCTGTGCTCTCTCCGCCCCCTAGAACTGCCCAATCACGAACGAATCTTGCAGCTGCTGCCTCCCCCTTGCCAGCCACGCCCTCCAAGGGTGCTACAGCTGCTGCAGGTGCTGTTACTATGGCTGCAGCGCCTTCCCCTGACCTATCAGCCAGTGCGTCTCTTGCATCATCAGGCCCGGAATCTGATGCACCACCACCACCACCACCACCAGCACCAGCAACAGCAGCAGCAGCAGGTGCCGGGGCTGCCCCTGAGCCAGCAAAAGAAAGAAGGTGTACGATTAAGATCAAGGGAGGCGCTCAGAGGAAGGTTCTTGTGTTGGTTTCACCTGAAAAACCACCTGAGATGCCGGCGGGGCAGTCTGGCCGCCCGCCTGCTGCAGGTGGTTACTCAGGGTTGAAGGGAGCTGAGTCAGCTACAGTGCGGAGTGAGTCAGCAACAGTGCGGAGTGAGTCAGCTACAGTGCAAAGTGGATCGTCTACGGTGCCACTGGGGAGTGAAATAGTGCCCAGAAAGCCAAAGCACGTTATCATCATTTCACGGAAGAAACAGGCTGCAGAGGATGGCGCTGGTGGTGCTGCTGCTGCTGGTACTGCTGGTGCCGCTGGTGCTGGTGATGCTCTTGGTGGTGGTGGTGCTGCTGCTGGTGCAGAAACAGTGCATAGGAAACCAGAAATTGTGGTGGCAGCGAGGGGGAAGCAGGTAGCTGGTGGGGAGAGTGGTACTGGTGGGGAAGCGGGAGGTGGTGGCATGGGTGGGGAAGGAGGGAAGGTGGGAGTGAGGCTGAAGTTAAGGCGCAGGCTCAAGGTGAAGCTGCTTGAAGGGAAGGTGGTAGTAGAGGGAGATGCGAAGGCAGGGAAGGGCGGTGAGCAGGGGACGAAGGACGGTGGCGCTCTAGCCCAAGGGGGGCCTGGACGACGAGGAGAGGGAGGGGAGGGTGCGAAGGCAGGGGAGAGAGGAGAGAGACGAGATGATGGGGGGGAGATGAGGGAGGGGGGAAATGGAGGGAAGGAAGGGGAGGGAGGCGAGAGTGGAAAGAGAGGGAAGAGGGAGGAGAGAGAGAAGGGAGGGGTGACAGGAGCGAGAGAGGAAAGGGGAAAAGAAGGAATCAAGAGGGACAGGGAGGAGAAGAAAGCGAGGACACGTGAGGCAGAGGAAGGGGGAGAGGGAGGGAGGCGAGGCACGAGAGAGGGGAAAGCGGAGGGCGAGAAGGGAGGGAGGAGCGTGGAGGAAGAGACAGGGGGGTTGCTGAAGATGGTCCCTCCAAAGAGGGGACGACCTGTCGGTGGCTCCAAGGCAGCAGCAGCAGCAGCAGCAGCAGCAGCAGCAGCTGCTGCTGCTGCAGCAGCCACCGCAGCTGCAGCGGCGGCAGCGGCAGCAGTAGCTGACCCTGACCCTACTGCCAGTACCCCTGATGCGGCTGTGGCTGCTGCTGCTGTTCCTGATGCTACCAGTGATGCTGCTCGCTCTCCTGCCGCTGATGCTGCTGCTGATGCTGTGGCTGAAGCAGCGGCCGAAGGAGGGGAGAAGGGTGGCGAGGCGACACCGTCAAAACTGCTGAAAGCAGCAAGAAAGGGGCGGGGAGAGAAGCTGAAGCCGTGTGTGATCGCCCTAGAGGCTGTGGAGGGGAGAGAAGGGGGCGGGGAGAAGGGAGGGGAGGAGAAGGGTGGGGCGGAGAAGGGTGGGACGGAGAAGGAGGAAGAAGAGGAGAGGGGGGAGGCGGCGGTGGGAAATAAAGGCCGGGAAACGGGTAGGGATGACAAATTGGGGGGAGGTAGCATGGTGGGTGGAGATGGAAGGGAGAGGGGGAGGGAAAGGCATGGGGATGGGAGGAGGAGGAAGCGGCATGAGAGGGGGAGAGAGAGAGAGGTTGTGGGGAAGGTGGGGGGAGAGAGGGATGAGGCAGCCGAGGGGTTAGAGAGAGAGGAAGATACAGGGGGGAGAGGAGGGGGAGGAAGGGAGGATGGAAGGGAGGATGCAAGGGTTTCAAATGTATATGCTGAGGGTGAAGAAAGGGGGGAGACAGGCAAGGGGGTGACGAGGCGTGATGGGAAGAGGAGGGAGCGAAGGGAGGAGGGGAAAGGGAGTGTGGAGGAGGTGGGTGGGGAGGAACGACAGGAGGTGAGGAAAAGAAGAGGGGAGGAGGAGCAGAGGAAGGGACGGAGGGAGGAGAGGGAGGGGAGTGGGGCTGAGGAGGGGCAGGAAAACGAAGGGAAGGGAGGGAGACCAGTGCGGCATGAGGAGACAGGGCGACAGAAGAGGAAGGAGAGAGGGAGGGAGGGCAGCGGTAGGAAGGGAAGTGGGGATGGAGGGGGGGAGGAAGGTGGGGCAGAAAGGGTCACGGAGGGAAGAAGGAGGGCAGTGGCAGTAGATCGGGAGGAGGGAAAGGAGGGGGAAAAGAATCACAGGGGCGACAGAGAGGTGGATGAGCAGGCAGAGGAGGCTGCGAGAACTTTTGAGTCGACTCAAAAGTCACGTTGTTACAATGAGGGGGGGGAGGAGGCGGAGGGAGGGGACGGGGCAAGGGAGGAGAGGGAGGAGGCTGTAAGTGGGGTAAGGAGGGTGCACGAGTGGAGGGGAGGGAGAACTGGGAGAAGGGGATGGGAGGGGAGTGAGGGGGGCGAGGGGAGTGTGTGTTGTGGGCTGTGTGTGGGCGAGGAGGAGGAGGGGAGTGTGAAGGCTTCTCGCATGGTCCCCTGCCCTCAGTGCGGTCGCAGGTTCCACCGGCACTGTCTGCTGGGAATGGCTGAGAACAGAGGTGCGTATGTGTGCCATGGGCCATGGACTATGGAGTGTATGGAGGACAGCGTAGGTTATGGAGTGTGAGGGGTGTCCGCATGGTGCCGTGCCCTCAGTGTGGTCGCAGGTTCCACCGGCACTGTCTGAGAATGGCTGAGAGCAGAGGTGAGAAGCAGCGATGGGATATGCTGTCTTGGGTAGAAACAGGTTATGTCATGTGAACGGGTGAGGGATGCTCGGATGGGGCCTATTTTTGAGGCGCCTCAAGAATACGAAGTATGCCGCCGGGTGAAAGGTGCTCGCATGCTCCCCTGCCCTCGGTGAGTCCGATGCTTCCAACAGAGGTATGAGCTGATTTTTTGGGGAGAATGCTTATGGGGAATGGGGTGTAGGCGTAGATATGGCGTTCTGCCGCCAGTATGGTCGCTGGTTGCTTGCACCCACTGACTGACACTGCCTCCTGCCTGGGCATGGGCATGGCTGGGAGCGGAGGTGAGCAACAGCGAGTGGGGCGCTTCATTGCTGGATATCGCACGTCCATCATCCCGCGTCCGTTTCACCATCAAGTGCCCGTATCATAGCTCATATCTAAACACTGTCCTGTCGACTGTCCCCTGTTGCCTGTCCCCTGTCCCCTGTCCCCTGCCCCCTGTCCCCTGTCCCCTGTCCCCTGTCCCTTGTCCCCTGTCCCCTGTCCCCTGTCGCCTGTCCCCTGTCGCCTGTCCCCTGTCGCCTGCTGCCTGCTGCATGCCACCGCCCCTCATTACCAGGCAAGCTCGACTGGCGGGACTGGGTCTGCCCTGGATGCATCCGCTGTGAGGTGAGAGGCAGGGAAGGGGTTGGGGGTGAATGGGACATGGTGGGTGAAGGGGCATGGTGGGCGAAGGGGCATGGTGGGCGAAGGGGCATGGTGGTTGAAGGGGTATGGTGGTTGAAGGGGTATGGTGGTTGAACGGGTATGGTGGTTGAACGGGTATGGTGGTTGAACGGGTATGGTAGTTGTGGCATGGGGTATTATAGAAGTGAGTGGGGGACTGGGTCTGCCCTGGTTGCATCCGATGTGAGGTGAGAGGCGGGGAAGGGGTTGGGGGTGAAGTGGACATGGGATACCAGAGAGCTCGCATGAGGGCTGGGTCTGTCTGTCCTTAGTGGCATGGGTTGCCAGCCTCTCCTCACATCACCCCTGCCATGTGCAGGTTGTGGACTCACATTGTTACGATATATTATATATATCATGCTAGTCTAGTATGCAGATAGGCGTACACCAAACTGTGGTGTACACATTCTGTGCTTGGAATGTTAATCCAACCCACAAGTGGTTGGAGCCCCCGAGCACCAAGTCCACACTTGTTGGGACCACTTCTTCCACACATCCTTGCACCGCACCGCACTGCACAGCTCCTCACATCACACCTGACATGGTAGGTTGTGGACTCTCAGCCATGAGTTTCCAGCCATTGCTACGGAGAGCCGCCTTCCGTCCTGTGCTGCCACGATAGGTGCCTTCCGTCCTGTGTCTTTGAGGTTCCTGTGCTGCCACCGTGTTAGTGTCGCCTCAGAGAGACGTTCGTCTTCTCTGCTCCCTTCGCTTGCCCCTCATCCCAAAACTTTTTCGAACCCTCGACAGGCCTGCCACCGGTATGGAGAGCCGAGTTCCATCCTGTGCTGCTACCGCTGTGACCGGGGCTACCACGCTGCTTGCACTCAGCTGCACACCAAGGTGAGGCGAAGGTGTCAGTGATAGTGAGGTGAAGGTGAGAGTGAGAGTGAGCTAGTGAGAGTGAGTGTGGAGAGTGAGAATGAGCATGGGAGTGAGAATGGGAGTGAGAATGGGAGTGAGAATGGGAGTGAGAATGGGAGTGAGAATGGGAGTGAGAATGGGAGTGAGAATGGGAGTGAGAATGGGAGTGGGCCGGCTTCCATCCTGCGCTGCTATCGCTGCCGCTGCGACCGGGGCTACCATGCCGCATGCGCTCAGCTGCACACCAAGCTGGGCGAATGCGCATGCACACTTCATTTCCTCACTCTTCTTCACCCCTCTGTATCCCTCCTCACCCTCTAATCGCCCTTCAAGCACGTTTCCTCTGCCACAGCCCCACCCAGTGCCACAGCTGCATGAACTGCATTCTCTCCTTTTCTCACTTCCATTCCCCCTCCTTCCCTACTCAACCCTCCAGTCCCCATTCAAGGGTCCCTTCCTCTGCCCCAGCCACACGCAGTGCCACAGCTGTGGCTCCAAAGTGCCTGGGAGTGGCACGTCCTCACGGTAAGATCAAGGGTACAGGGGGAGGATTTGGGGGGGTGTGTGGGGGAGGGGAAGGGGATGCTATAGAGATGACAGCGCCACAGCTGTGGCTCCAAAGTACCTGGGAGTGGCACGTCCTCGCGGTAACAGCAACGGTAGGTGGATGGGCGGGGAGGGGGTGGGTGGATGGGGCGGGGGGGGCAAGGGGCGGAAGGGAGTTATAGGGAGAACAGTACCAGAGCCGTGGCTTCAAATGGTGGGTAGAGGAACCTCCTCACAGTAAGACCAAGAGTGATGGGGGGTGAGGGAGAGAAGAGTCTGCAGGTCGTAAGTGCACGGGTGGGGAATCAGGGTGGCAGTGGGGGACAAAGGGGGACGAAGGGGGACAAAGGGGGACGAAGGGGGACGAAGGGGGACGAAGGGGGTCAAAGGGAAGACAGTGTAACAGCTGCAGCTTGAAAATGCCTGGGAGCAGCACCTCCTTAAACCCTGTCCCCCTATCTCCCCCCCCCTCCCCCCTGTCCCCCTTTCTCCCACCCCCTTCCTGGGCTCCTCAGCTTCATGCTCTGGGCCCGTAACACCCAAAGCCCTTTCCCCTTCTGCTTCAGCTGCTGCTGACCCCCTCCTTCCTACAACCCCCCCCCCCCCCCCACCTCTCCACCCCCCCCTTCCCCCCAGCTTATCTTTGACTGCATGCTCTGTGATGCCACCTCTCTCGCCTCCCCCCCCCCCCTTTCCTCCCATCCTCTTCCCCCCAGCTGTTTCTTCAACCACACGCTCTGTGCCGCCTTCTCTCTTCCTGCCCTTTTCCCCTCCTTCCCTCTCTGCTCTCCACCTTCCCCTTCTCCTCTCCCCCTTCCCCCCCTCCCTCCAGCTGGCACTTCAACTACATGCTGTGTGACGCCTCATGACCCACTACCCCTTCCTGCCCCCCTCCCCTCCCCCGCCCAGCTGGTTCTTCAACTACATGCTGTGTGACGCCTGTGGCCGGCTCTTTGTCAAGAAGAAGCACTGTCCCGTCTGCCTCAGGGTAGGTGCGACTCGGGTAGGTGCTTTTTGGTGTAGGTGCTGCTGGGATATATGTAAGTGCGCTTATTGTGGCAGTACATAGACTGGAGCAGGTTCAACTGGGATAGGCAGAGGTGACGGTGTATTCTTGGGACTCATTATTTGTTGACTGTCGCTGTGGCTAGTGTGACTGCGACTGGCGGTGGCACGTGCTTGTGTCTGTGTGCATCCCATGGCCATTATTTTGCTTCCCATTGCCATCAGGTGTATCGGGACTCTGAGCCAACCCCAATGGTGTGTTGTGACAAATGCGAGCACTGGGTGCACTGCGCGTGTGATAATATCAGGTTGGTAAAGAGTGCCCGTTAGACATAGAATACACTGGGTGCATTGGCACCACTCCCCCTGCAAGTGTTTCCTGCAAGCAGTGACGAGCAGTGCATACAGTATCAGACCAACGCTGATCTCTACTGCACATGGTGTTTTTGAGACTTGTCAAAAGCATGCCCTGCCTGCCTCTCTCTCTGTGCCCCCATTTCTCCTTCCTCATGTGCCCCTTGCCTCCATGCTTTTGCTTCATTCCCCCCCCCTCCCCCTTTCCCTTTACACAGTGACGAGCAGTACATGCAGTATCAGACGAATGCTGACCTCTCCTACACATGCCCTGCCTGCCTCCCTCCGTGTGCCCCTTTTCCCTACCTCCATCTCCACACACCCCCCCCCCTCCCCTCTCCCTCTGCCCCCCGCATTCACACAGTGACGAGCAGTACATGCAGTATCAGACGAACGCTGACCTCTCCTACACCTGCCCTGCCTGCCTGGGCCACGCTCCGAGTGTGAGTATCCCTGCAGCCCTCCATGGCTTGTCCGCACCAGATTCATGCGTCATCCTTGCCTTACCCATGCCTTACCCATGCCTTCCCATGTTTTTCCCATGCCATATCCACGCATCACATCCGTTGCCCCTTGTGACATGTATTCTGCTGGCTATCCTTCGCCCATATCACAGGTGGCAACAGCAGCCGAGGCAACTCAAGAGCTCTGGGCGCGGTTTAAAGAGCGGGTGAAGCACAGCAAGGTGGGAGGAGGGGAAGGGGGAGAGGGGGAAGCGGAGGAGCAAGAGGAGAGTATTTGGTCCAAGAAGAGAGGACAGAGGAAGGAAAAGAGGGAGGCCAGAGAGGGCGGAGTGGGTAAAGAGGGCAGAGAGGGTAGGGGAGCGGTGTTGCTGCTGGCTAAGAGGGAGGAGCAGGAAGGCGAGGAGGAAGGGGGGAAAGGGGAGGGAGAAGGAGGAGGAAGAAGGGGAGGAGAGGCGGATGGGGGAAGAGGGGAGGGAAGAAGGGGGAGGGGAGGGGATGGGGAAGAAGGGGGGGAGGAGGAGGGGGAGGAAGAGAGGGAGAAGGCCCCTCCCCCGTTTTCAGAGAGTGAGGGAGAGGAGGAGGGGGGAGGAGAACAGGGAGGAGGAGGTGGTGCTGATGGTGTGGGCAGGAGGGGAAGGAGGGCGGGGGTAGGGAAGGAGAAGGGTGGCGAAGACGAGGGTTTAGGGAAGAGGAAAAGGAGGAAAGGGGCAAGAGAGGAGGAGGAAGTGGTCAGAGAGGGCGATGGGGGAGGGGAGAGGAAGAGGAGGAGGAGGAAGAGTGGCAAGGGGGAGGAGGAAGAAAGGGCAGAGGAGGGAGAGGAGGGGGGTGAGGGACGAGGGGAGGAGGGGATACGAGTGCGAATAAGGCTGAAGAGGAAGAGAGGGGAGGATGTGGGGGGGGAGGATCATGAGAAGGAACGAAAGGGAGAGGGGAGGGAGAGGAGGAAGAGGAGGGGAGAGCAGGAAGAGGCGAGAGAAAGGGGCGAAGAAGAGAAGGATGAAGCAGCAGGGGAGGAGGGAACTATTGGGGAGAGACCAACAGAGAAACGTACTCAAGCAGAGGGAAAAGGGCGGGTGGGAGAGAGAGTAGGAGGGGAAGCAGGAGAGGTTGGGGATTTCCAAGAGGAGGTGAAGAGGAGGAAGAGGAGGCGGAAGGAAGGGACGGAAGACGAGGGGAGAGTAAGTGAGAAGGGAGGGGAAGTTAGGGAGGGAGAGGAGGCGGAGGAGGAAACAGCAAGGGAGGAGGGTGATACGAGGAAGGGAGAGGGCGTGGATGGTCGGACCAAGGAGGGCGGAGCACTAAGGAGCGAGGAGCACAGGGAGGGGCAGAGACGGGGGCAGCAAGAGGGATGCAAGGAAGCAGTGGGGAAGGGGGACGAGGATAAGGAGAAAGAGAAGTGCGGGGCAGAGGCGGAAGAAGCACGGGGGAAGGAGGAAGCCAAGGAGAAGCTAGGGGAGAATCGAGGGGATGAGAAGGAAGAGGAGCAGGATGAAGGGCGGGGGAAGGAGGGGCGGGAAAATGTGGGTGGCAGAGTGAAGGGCATGGCCGGCATAGATGTGATTATAGGGGGTGCTGGGCGGGGGCGGGACACCAAGGAAAAAGGGCGAAGGGAACAGGGGAGGGGGGAACAGGGGCGGAGCTTAGGTCGGGGGGGTGTAGGTTCGGGGAGCGCAGGTTCGGCAGGTGAGAAGGTTGGGGATGGGGAGGAGCACAGCAAGGTTACAGAGCCCCCTCCTGCTCATCGCGCTCCTAATAATGCTGCTGCTGCTGTGAATGATGGTGGTGCTGGTGCTGTTGCTGGTGCTGCTGCTGGTGCTACTGCTGGTGCTGCTGCTGGTGCTGCTGGTGGGGATGGAGGGGTGAGGGGGCTGAAGCTGAGGATTCGAAGGGCGCTTGAGACGGGAGGAGTGAGAGGAGGGAAGGACAGCGAGAAAGAGAGCAAGGCAGGCCTGTAGTTCACAGGGGTGCCTGAGCTAGCACAAGGCCAGTTCGATTTAAGGACTGAGGGTCCTAACTGTCAAACACATCTGTGTGATGTTGTAGACCATATAGGGTTGTGCCTTAGAAAGTACAGCCCCCTAGGTTATAATGCCTTGTACTCTCACATTCTAGTCATTCTTTCAGTTTGACATGGTATCATGAGTAGGTTAGGTCCCCTTCGCCCACCAGCGCTTCCGCCGCAGGTCCTAGCCGTCTCGCCTACCCCGTCCCCTAGCGGCCAAGCGGCCCCGTCCCATAGCGGCCCCTCGGCCCCGTCGACCAGCGGCCCCTCGGCCCTGTCGACCAGCGGCCCCACGGCCCCGTCTCCTAGCAGCCCTGCGGCCCTGTCCCCTAGCGGCCCCTCGGCCCCGTCGACCAGCGGCCCCGCGGCCCCGTCCCCTAGCGGCCCAGCGGCCCCGACCAGGGCTGACTTTTCAAAAAAATGCACTCTGATTTTACCCCCAAAAAAATTCCGCAAGTCTGAAGGACCATTTTCCAGATTTTGCCTACTCTGAAATCTCAGTATCCAAAAGTTGACTAGTCTGAAATACCCAGGGTTCAAAATGTCGAATCAGAGTCGACGCGTCTAAGTTGACGGGAAAATAAGGACCGTAAATGATTACGTAGATTGACGGAGTCTGTACACACACACGTGGCCCCTTATCTAATGTGGCTCTGGGTGGGAACCCGACACATGTTCAATCCCCCAAGTTCAAGTTCCCCCACAAAGTTCTCCACTTCCGAGTGTGCAAGTATGATGACGTGCAAAACTTCGTGCGGGCTGGTTCATTTCCCCCATAAATTTCATAAATTCGTGGGATGTTAACGCAAATATTCCGAAGCACTCGCGTTCTGCAAATGCCGAGGCCGAGCTTTTTGTGACGTATCACAAAGCCGACATTGTGAAGGCGTGTTCTTACGCGACACGTTGTCGGGCAACTTCGCTTCATTCAAGATTTTTCCCGTCAGATTCGCCAGTCAATTACGAATTGACACGAGTCAGAGTGTTCCTTATGTCACGTAGACACACGCCCTGAAGCACGTCGAATCGAAAGTCTGTCTACAAGCTGTCCTTGCAAGTGTGTGATTGGTTGTTGAGGGACTTGTGTCAGCCCCTGAGAGAACTTCGAAACGAAGAAGGAAAAAAAAAGGCAAAAGGGCTGTGGAAAGAATGTCCCCTAAAAATGGAAGACTTAGCCGATTTTCGTGGGTAGGTGGGGGTGTGAGAGGGGTGCCTCCAGAGCAGGACTCCAACAAATTTTATGGGTTGCTGGGTGTGCGAAGGAACTGTCGCTGGCTGAAATTTATAGGTTGCTGGGTGTGTGGGAGGACTTGACTCTGGTGGCTGGGAACTTAGTCGAATTTTTTACGCGTTGCTGGTTGTGCTGGGGGGAGCTGTCTCTGGCTGCTAGGACTTAGCCAGATTTTATAGGTTGCGGGGCGGGGTGTGTGAAAGGACTTGACTCTGGCCGTTGGGGATATGGACGAAAATTTCTGGGTGAGGGCAGGTAGGTATGTCTGGATCAGGGTCCGTACGCGCTGTGCTCTGAAAACTCAGTATCCACAAACTGCCAAGTCTGAGATTCTCAGGATTCAAAAACAGATAACTCTGAAGGGTTCAGCATTCAGAAATTGACAAGTCTGAAAAATCAGGATCGGCAAAAAAATAGGTCTGAAATTTCAGACAATCAGACTAAAATAGTCTGATAAAATCAGCCCTGGCCCCGACCCCTAGCGGCCCCTCTGCCCCGTCGACCAGCAGCCCCGAGGCCCCGTCCCCTAGCAGCCCCTCGGCCCCGTCGACCAGCGGCCCCGCGGCCTCGTCCCCTAGCGGCCCCTCGGCCCCGTCGACCAGCGGCCCCGCGGCCCCGTCCCCTAGCGGCCCCGCGGCCCCATCTCCTAGCGGCCCCTCGGCCCCGTCGACCAACGGCCCCGCGGCCCCGTCCCCCAGCGGCCCCTTGGCCCCGTCAACCAGCAGCCCCGGGGCCCCGTCCCCTAGCGGCCCCGCGGCCCCGTCCCCGTAGCTGGCCCCGTCCCGCCGCCGGCCCATTCCCCTAGCCGGCCCCGTCTTGCAGCCGGCCCCGTCCCGTCGGCGGCCCCGTCCTGAAGCCGACCCCGTTGCGTAGCCGACCTCCATCATCCATGCCGGTGCACCCCATTTTCTGTGGCCGTTCGCCGTTCGCTACGCCGCTCACCAGTTTAACTTGTGGCCGCGCCCCAAGCAGCCGCAGGTTTCGCCAACCCTTCTTTGGACTGGGTCCCCTGGTGACGCGTCTGCGTTCCACGTCTGGGGCTGCCTTGCTCACGTTCGTGCCTCAAGCACGGACAAGCTCACTGCCCGCACCATCCCCTGTGTCTTCCTAGGTTTCCCCCTCGACTCGTCTGCCTGGCACTTCTACCACCCACCGTCTCACCGTTTTTTTCACTTTCGCGACGTCACCTTTGACAAGTCTGTCTCCTTCTACCACTGCTTTCCCTACCGTGGTCCCACGGTTACTCCCCCCTGTTCCTGGTTCCCCCTCCCCCGGTTGCCCCAGCTCCTCCCCCTCCCCGCCCTGCCCCGTCTGGTGTGTCTCACGTCACCCCCCTCCCGTCGGTTGTCCCGATCTACGAGTCTGCTGACTCTAGCGGCCGTGCGGCGCAGTTCTCGCCGCCTGCCCCTCCCCCAGTGTCTCCTCCTCTGTTGTCGCGGCAGCCGTCGTTACAGTTGCCACCACCGCCGCAGCCGCAGCCGTCGTCGCAGCCGCAGTCGCCGCAGCAGCAGCAATTCGTCGACCCTGGGGATGCTGGCGTTGACGACGGTGCTCGTCCTGGGGTTCCTGTCGTGGCTTGTCCCGGCGGGCCTGGGGGTGGTACCGGTGCTGGAGAGGTTCCTGGTTCTGGGGGTGCTGGACTGGAGTGTTCCGGAGTTTGCCGAGGAGCAGCTGGCGGTCCCAGTGTCGCCGTCGTGCCACCGCAGCAGCAGTCACCAACGGTGTCAGCCCTTCGCCTGCTCGGCCTTCCGTCCCCTGACCGCGCGTCTGTTCCTCCTCCACCGTGTGCTCCCCTTCCTGTCTACGGCCCCGTGTTCCCTCCTCCGGACTCGTCTCCGGCTCGTCTTCCCCCGCGTTCTCCTCCTGTGTCTCCTCCTGTGTCTCCTAACCCGACACCTCCGTCTCACGTCTGGTCCCGCCGTCCCTCTCGTGCTCGTCCTGTCTCTCCTGTTCCGCGCTCTCACCCTATGTTGCTCCGTTCCCACGCGTCTCGTCCTCCCCTCCTGCCGTCGCCTCCTCCGTCCTCCCTTGTTGTCGTGCCTCCCCCTTTGTCTGACTACCTTCGTGCAGCTCGTCCTCTTGTTCCTCGGGTCCTTGCCTCTCTCATTACCGACCCGTCTATTTTTGTTTCGCGTCTTGACGCTCTTGTTGCTGAATTCGCCTCTACCCGCCGCCTTGACTACGCCATTGCTCTGGTCTCTGACCCTGCTCGTCCTCCGTCCGTTCGGGGTGCTCCTGCCCTAGGCAATGACGTCCTGGAGGACCGGCAGTACGAGCTTGCTTTCCTTTCCGAGGCTGCTCCCCATCTCTGTTCCATGCTGCTAGTCCCTGAGGGTGACCCAGACGCTTTCAACATCCCGACCCCTAGCACTTACGCTGAGGCGACCTCGAGACCCTAGGCCTCTCAGTGGATAGCTGCCATGGAGCAGGAGATGGCATCTTGGAGATCCACCGGCACCTAAGTCGACGCAGTTCCCCCACCTGGGGTGAACGTAGTCGATGGCCCGTGGCTCTTCAAGGTGAAGCGTCCCCCTGGAGAGCCGCCTGTGTTCAAGGCGCGCTACGTAGCTAGAGGCTTCAGTCAGCGTGAGGGGGTGGACTTCTTTCAGACCTTCGCCCCGACCCCGAAGATGACTACTCTTCGGGTGCTGCTACACGTAGCAGCACAGCGTGACTACGAGTTACACTCCCTCGTTTTCTCCACTGCGTTTCTTCAGGGCAGCCTACACAAGCAGGTCTACCTGCGCCACCCTCAGGGCTTCACTGGTACCTTCCCTCCTGGGACCCAGTGGCTCCTGCGGCGCCCAGTCTACGGCTTGCGACAGGCACCCCCTGAGTGGCATGACACATTGCATGCTACCCTTGCTGACCTGCAGTTCTTTCCGTCCTCTGCAGACCCCTCGCTCTTCGTTCGTGCTGGCCAGACCACGTTCTACAGGGACAGAGCAGCGCGAACCATCACTCTCACCCAGTCACACTTGGTGCTCCTCAGAGGTTGGACTAGTAGTGCCACCTTGAGCTGCTTATCTCTAAACAAACACTGCCCCTATCCAGTCTAGGGGGTGTGTCAAACACATTTGTGTGTGATGTTGTAGTCCATATATGGTTGTGCCTTAAAGAGTACAGCCCCCTAGGTTATAATGCCTTGTACTTTCACATTCTAGTCATTCTTTCAGTTTGACACTAACCTGTGGCGGGGACCAGGGCTCAAATTTGAAGGGTGTTTCACCCTGATTACCCTTGCCATCGGCCGCTTTTTCAGGATTACCCTGATTTTGTAAGGCCGAATTTTCTCTGAACCTTTCTCAAAAAGTGTAAGGAATATTTTACCCTGTTGTAGTAAGAGTGTTCGTCTTATTACCCTGACCAGCCAAATGCGCCAAAAAACACCCTGAAACAGATAACTCCGAACCCTCGAAATACGCCAACTATCGAATCTGCCACGCAGGCAGGCAGCCTCGCCCACCAACAAATTCTCGTTTTGGCTGCTCCCTCCCCTCGTGTCACTGTTCCCTACCTTCGTCACTCGCTCATTCCCCCCAACCTTGTTTGTCTCTCTGTTCCTCTTTGCCTTAGAGCGTGTTCCTACCTGCCTCTTCCCAAGCAACCTCTTCCCAGACTCGCGTGCTACAGTGTCGCAAATTTTGACGCGAAAATTTTCAGTGCGATTCCGCGAAGTGCGAAGTGAGATTCGGCTTCCCAAGTTTCAGGGGCGTGTTTTAAAACCTCTTTTCAGACGAGCAGATTTTCAGACAAGCGCGAATCTGCACTGTAATTCTTTTACGCCAGCTGGTTTTATGTGGTTGAGAGCGATGGAACGCATATATGAAACGGGAGTATTCCGAAAAGTGGTCCTGGGAACACGCTCTCAAGGTTGCTCGTGAGTCTGGAAAGAGGTTACCTGGGAAGAGGCTCGTAGGAACACGCCTTAGTCTCTCGTTGCTCCCGTAGTCTCCCGCTGCTCCCATTGTCTCTCGCTGCTCCCGTAGTCTCTCGCTGCTCCCATAATCTCTCGCTGCTCCCTTAGTCTCTCGCTGCTCCCTTAGTCTCTCGCCACTCCCTTGGTCTCTCGTTGCTCCCTTAGTATCTCGCTTCTCCCATAGTCTCTCGCTGCTCCCTCAAGGCGTATTTCTGAGGTAGCATCAGAACCAGAATCCAATTCAGACTTGCACAGTACAGTGAGGTGCAAGAGCGAAATGAGCAGTCTAATGAGGTTCGGTTCGGTTTTCACGACTTTGATTCTGATTTCGTTTCTGATGCTAACTCACGAATACG